TTTTCAAGTAAGGCAGGTGTTTATGGGTGTTGACCATGTTACGAAGGTATTGAAGGATTATGTAATTTAGAGATCGGCTTTGTTGTTAAGAAGGTGTATAATGAGAATGGGAGGATTAAAGCAGTGTGTGTAAACAAGTGGGGTGTCCATTTCATATTTATGAAGCTTTAATGCTTGATAAGCAATTATATTAACTTAGGCAATATGACACACACACACACACACTTGCCTTAGAGTAGATAACAATCTGGATGCCTCTATCTCATGGATTGCTAAGAAAATGGGTGAGTTTATTAGGTCACACAGGGGGAGTTGTGTAAAGCCCTTATATGCTGAATTAGGGAAGGTACATTATTTGGAGGTGCGTAAACACAAGTTGTATAGTGTTAGGAGAATTGCCACTGGTATGACCCAAAAACAACATGTTGAGTCTTTTGCATGGTTGTACAAGTACTATCACATTCTTCATGTTACCTATCCTAGCTCCATGACATAACTGAGGGTGATTAGATAGCAAGTAGTAGAAACTCCTTAGTTCAAGAGACATTTTCTAAGTTTTGCAGCTTAGAAAAATGAATTTCTATAGGGGTTTAGACATTTCATAGGGATTGATAGGTGTTTTCTCAAAGGTTATTATGGTGGGGTTCTTTTTTCTATTGTCTCAATGGATGCAAACAGTGGGATTTACTCTTTGGCCATATGTATTTGTAAGGCAGAGAATAAGGACTCTTGGGGGTTTTTCCTTGACTTATTGCATGATTTTTTTGGGGATATAGATATTGTCACATTCATGAGTAGGGCGGACCCAACCCCTTTGAGGGTAGGCTTGGAATTTAGATTAAGAAAAAAAAACCAATTTTTTCTATAGAAAAGTTTTTCTTAGAATCTCTCCTTATCCTTTGGGATTCTACATGTCTTTATTAATTTGACCTTTCTGTCCTCCCCCTTTCCCCTAATTTAGTACATGTAAAATACCACATAAATCACTATTAATTGTGATTTTTAATTCTATGACCTAGCCTCACTGTCGTTTCATCTGTACTTACCTTTCTGTCTTTTATCCATTTATCTAATTAATTACTTAATAGACACCAATTCCCTCTATTAATAAAAGATTCTATTTTGTAACTTACACCCCTTTTTAATAAAAATAAAATTAATAACTTATATAATTAAAAACTAATAATCTACTTAATAATTATCATAATTTTTCCCTGATTTTAATAAATTTTGAATGATTATACTATATTATTTTCACAAATCTATCCTCTAATTAATGACAATGACATGACATAATTAAAAAATAATTAGAATATAATTCAATTTCAATCATTCATTGAACTTTGACTATGACAATTTAGTGTTAAAAGCAAGCATAATTTTTTATTATTTAATTTTTTTTTTTTTTTTTTTAAAGACCTTAATCATATAAAACATTACTTTAAAAGTGCATATAACTCAACTCATTTTTCCATTTGACCCTTGCTTCTTCCCTTCCAATTTCATCACAAATTTTCATAAGACATCAATAACATCAATTGGTAAGAGAAGAACTTGAATTGAAAGCAAATTAGGTTAAGATTTACAGTTTAGGGTTTCTGCTCTCTTCATATTGAAGAGGTTTTTCCACGTGAAATTTTCTTGTGTTTCCTTGTTAATTGAATGTTATTTTCAACACATTTGTTTAGTTTTGCTTCTCATAAATTTATTCAAGTAAGACAGTACTATGTTACTGTTTTCTTTCTTTTCAACTTCTTGATATTATATTATTTCATTTGCTCAAGATTTGATGGTTTTTTAAAAGTTTTCACTAATAATGATGCAGCTGTGGAGGCCCCCCGGGCAAAAATCCTAGGTCTACCACTGTTCACGAGTGATAGGCAGAAAAGTATTTTAAATGTGTTAAGCCCTTATGTGCATTGATGTGTCAAAACTAATCAAAAGAATGTTTAAAGACTAATAAATGTGCAAATGTATGACATAAATCATAACCAAAAATAAAAGTACAGTTTTCTAGCTGGAACGACCCTTCACGCAGATGGAATGCCCGTTCCAATAAAATATTTCTCAAATTAACTCTCAATTAAGCCGTTCCAAGTTGGAACAACATCGTTCCATGATGTCGTTCATCATGCTGCCCAAAATGAGGCAATCTTTTAGTCAAGTTGTTCCAAGCCGAACGGTCATCATTTTGAACATATTTGAAGACCTAGACAAAAAGACTGAAATAGACATTTGAAGAAGGAACGACCAAATCGAACGACCGTTCTTCAAGACTGTTCCACATGAACGACGTAGTTCCATCACATTGTTCATGGTTTTGGAATCTTGACACTCTTTGCAATATGAAGAGGAACGTCTGTTCCATGAGAGGAATGCCCATTGCAAGTTCAAGTCAAGATTTTGGACTTAGAAGATTTCGAGCTCAAGTCAAGGTTTTGGAAATTTCAAGTCAAATAGGATCGACCATGATGAACGCTCGTTCCCAGAATTTATCAAGTCATTGCAAGAAGGAACAACACCATTCTAGGAAGTCCTTCAACGTTTTGGAATTTTCTAGACTTTAAGAGATCTAGAATGGAACGACTGTTCTGAGAAGGAATGCTCGTCCGTGATAAGGGAACAACCATCTCAACTAGGTCCACTAAAAAACCCTAAATCAAATCTAATTTCATTCTCCTTTCCTTTATTCATCTGTGAATTTGTGTTCTTCTTCTGTCTTCGAGCTTCATTTTCATTGTTCACTAGCTCTTCTTCTTTTCTTTATTTCTTCTTCTTCTTCTTCACCACCCCTTCCCTCATCGTTGCCTCCTACCTCCTCACTGTTGTCCCCACCCTCACCATTTTGGCCACCCCTTATATATTCAATCCACCTTCTTTTGGCCCCATGGTTTACATCCATCACCATTAAACCGATGTGGAGATTTGTGGGTTTTTTGGTTTAGTTGTGTTTCATTTGGCTTGGTTTTGGAGATATTTGGGGAAGAGAAGTGAAGGGGTGGAGATCTATAGTAGATTTGTGGCTGGGTTATTTTTTTCGATAATGATGACATCATCATGCTGACGTTAGCATGATGATCTCACCGGTCGGACTGGTCGGTATGATCGATCGGACTGCCTGAACCGTGACCTAGCCACCTGACCAGGCCACCCAACAGTTCGGGTTTCAGAACCTTGTCTGTTAGTGAATTTGAAATGTTTCTGGACAAGTTCCCACCCAATGTATGATATAATGACAAGTTCCCACCTCATATGTTTAAAGTTTTTCTTGCCATACAGAGACAAATTGGTAATTTAAAATGTTACACATTTTAAAAATCCCAATGATTACTTCAAAATATCAAAATAAGAGGAACAAATTGGTATTTTACATCCCCATAAATAGTTGATGGTTATTAGTATTTTAAATTACAAAGAATGGGTATATAGGTAAGTGACTATGTTGACTTGACATAAATTAATTGAATAATGTTAAGTCAAACAATTAAGGCTATTTTCGTCATTGTTGTTATTGTACCATGTCAGGTAACAGAATTCACTAACAAATTCTGACGGAAAGTGAGTATTTGTCATTTTCAAACTTTTTGGGTAGTGAATTGTCTTCAGGGTAAACTTCGGGTGGGAGGATGTCGTTCGGCTAAAAAAAAAAAATCCTAACCTAAACCTCTCTCTCTCTTCTTCTTTTTTTTTTTTTTTTTTTTTTTTTTTTTTTTTTTTTTTTTTTTTNGCATCCGAGTCAACATTTTCAACGAGTGGTCGGATTGTTGAAGACAGAAGATGTTCTTTAACTGATGAGATGATTGAAGTGATAACGTGTTTACGGGATTGGACTCATGCAGAAAAAAAACTACAACAGCACCCTGAAGATCCCGAACTACTCGAACTCTTTAGGAATACATATTTGAATGATATAAATATTATTGACGATGAAAATGAATAATTTTATTAAAAAAAATATTTAATTGTTTATTTGTGAAGCGTGAATGTGTGAAACGTGAATTTATGTTAAAAATTAAAATTAAAATTAAATTAATTAAAATTTTAGAAATTTACTAATCTACCCCTAAGAAATACTAAAAACCCCCTACAAAATTTTGTTTTGGCCCCAAAATAAAAAAAAAGATTAGACGGGGGGGGGGGGGGGGGGGGGGGAAGAGAATTGTCCTGGCCCATAGGACCAGTCCTTAGGATCGGTCCGGGTCCTCATTCTGCTCATGGGCCTGGGAGACCAGTCCCAAAGGACCAGTCCTAGGACAGGCCTGCTTGGGACTGATCCCTGCCCACCTCTAATGTCAAGTAAGAGAATTCACTAACAAATCCTGACCGAAAGTGGGTATTTGTCGTTTTCAAACTTTTTGGGTAGTGAATTGTCTTCAGGGTAAACTTCGAGTGGGAGGATGTCATTCGGCTAAAAAAATAATCCTAACCTAAACCTCTCTCTCTCTCTCTCTCTCTTTTTATTTTATTATTATTATTATTATTATTTAAGAATGGATAATGGGACAAATTTGGGTATTCATGAAAAAAGTGGGATAGACACGGAAATCTTAGTACTCATCCGCATAGAGGAGAAGATCCTGATCCAAATAAAATATACTTTATATATTCTACATATTCACATGGCAAAATGGGGTAAAAGACTAAAAGATTGAGATACCCATAAAATATATATACTTTTTTAACACCCACAAAGCAGCCAACTTGAGAGAATATGCACTAGAAGATATATGGTATGATTAACAAAATTTTCTAATGAAATAATGCAGGTGAAAAGATAATAAAATAATTTAGAAATAACACAAAAATCTGAGAAGGCAGATGACAAGAGAACACCCCCATAATGAAACCTATTAATCCTTAATATTAAATGAATGAATATCATTCCTATTAATGAATTGGTTATAACTATCTATAGGTTCTCCAAGTCCAACTAATTAAGAAATCTAAATTCACAAATATTTTGACCAAACACTAATCAATACAAATATTAAATCTAAATGTCAATTATAATCGGAAATAATTGAGTGAATAGAATCAGAAAGATTGTTAATGGCCTCAACAAAGTTGGCGATTTCTTGGCGTTCAACTTCATTTCTAGTTTCTTCAATTTGCAGCCTATGTTGTTCGATCTCCATGAATAGTTGGTGTCGTTTCTCTTTCATTTCGTCGCATCTTTTAAGGGTTTGAGCCAATTTTGAAGCACTACGAACGATGCTGGAGCTTATATTTTTAACTCTTCTCCTCTTTGAATTGGAGTCGCTTTTCTCACCTGTGACAAATAATTATAATAAAAGAAATTATGGAAACCGGTTTAAGTGGAGTCAATCTATATCCATTAATTAGATTAATTTTTTAATATCTATACATAAATCGGTTGTACTATATGCATCATATTGATAATTCTTAATTTATCCTAAAGTTTTTAGTAGGCCAATTAAATTAGTCCGTGGACCAAAAGGTTAGGTGATGTTCCAGCTACATTCACCTCAATAAATATCATGTAACTTTTACTCACTTGTTTTCATCTTTATTTATTTATTTGCAACAAAATAAATAGAAAAGGGAATCTAGAAATTGGTAAAATTAGCTATATATCTATCTCGCTACTTCATTTGCCTTTCACCTATATATAATCATCCCTTCTGGTTTCTTTCTTCTTTGTCTTACCCTAATTGAATATTGGAGTCCAAATATTGACCTCAATACTTAAATATCTATAAAGGAAAATTCTAATTGAAGGTAGGTGTCTACATTTTTTAAATTTTGAATATTTATTTTCTGATGTAAGAAAACATCAAAAGATCGAACTTAAAAATTTCCTATATAATTGAATTTTTTTTTTTTTTTAAATTTACCAACTAATTAAGAGACACCAGAAAAAGATGTGTATAATCATAAATCTCAATTAAATTTCTCCAGCCACCAAGAGTATTTCTTCATCCACAATAGATTATGTATCATCAATTAAATACTGAAAAGTCTTATACATATATATACGTTAACTTATAGGGTGGAAATGTATTTTGTTTAAGCTGTATCACAGTCCACATGATTAAAAACAATAATGCGGTTGGTGGTAAATGCGACAGAATTTTCAAAGCCTGCAACTTTGACCAAATAATTTTTTATACTATTAACTCTCCTTCACGACAAAAATCAAGTGCTGATTTTAGAACGTACTGACACATATATGAATCAATGAAAAATTACTATTACTTTTGATAATTCAAATACCTGAAACATGGGTCCCAGAACCACCCACCGGTGCCGGAGGATATGGCCGGAAGGTCAATTGTTGTGGAGATGCATTTCTATGTCTCCTTTGAACAACCTCATTAAGTGCTTGAAAAACTTCTTGGGACATATTAGAAGGAAGATTATGAAGTTTCCGCTGGTGCTTGTCCATTTGCCAGTATGACTGTTGGTGGGTACTGAGTTTCTTATAGTCACGAAGCAAGTTATCCCATTTGTCATTGCATTGATTCTGGCTATGGCGGCAGCCGTGAGCCCAGCAGTAGTTCTCCACCCAATTCCAGCGGAGGTTGGCGGTGGTACGCAGGTGTTCAGTGCTAAGTTTCTTGGCAGTTATAAGGATGAGAGTTTCTTGGATTGTCCAGTTGCCTTTGTGGTACTCGCGGTTGCGGCTAATGAGAGGCGGCAGGTGGTGGTGGTGGTGGTGGAGAGAGGTTTGTGGGTTGGACATGGGCATTAATTGAAAGGAAAGATAAAGTGAGTGAAGGTCGATCACAAGTATGATTATTAGCTTGCTGGATTTCTTCTTTTTGGGAGATCTAGTGGTTTATGAGAGGTTTTCACCAAATCATCATGATGGTGTAGTGAAATTGTTCAAGTAAAAGTATGCATGTGAAGCACTTAATAGAAATAACATACTGATGAACATGTTTAAAAAAGAGCATTTTTTTATAAACAAAAATATAGGAGTGTTACAGATTAAAATAAATACATGTTATGATAAGTATTTTTTTTGTAGTGTATACAATAGTTTGAATTTTATTTGGGATTTGAGGAAATAAAACACTTGAAACAAATAAAATATTAAGTTAATTAATTTGAAGAGGTTAGAGAGTAATGAAAATGATGTTGGGTTACTTCATAAGAAAATAAGGTTAACAATAATAAATCAGGGTTCATTTTCAAAATAGAGAGAAAAACTACACTACCAATTAGATACCAATTAAAACTCTTTCATTTTAGAAATTTTAGAAATATCAAAGGAGATGCATTCAATTGCTTCAGTTCCTTAATAATCAAGTCACAAAAAATTAGCAACTCAAGTACTGTGAGATACTAATTTTAAATATAGATATAATAAAACTTCTTTATAGTCAAAATGATGGGAGTAACTAATTTTATAACTATTAGGAGGTTATAACTTAATAAAGGTGTAATTACAAAAATTATTATTTTAATTTTTAATTTTATAATTCATGTTTTAATAGTACAATATTATGATTTCAATTCATGTTTTAGTAGTTTCAGGATTTTAATTCAGTGCTTCAATTCCCTACTTTTGAAACAGATAGAAGATCGTGTCTTGGAATCAATAGAGAAAAGTGTCTTCGATGGAATTGTAAATGCAGTTGTTGTATGGTTAATTGATATGAAACCATAGACAATTGCCAATTCTTTTTGCACTGCAAAATTAGAACCCCTAATGTCGATGAATTGCAAGTTACTAATGAAGTGGATGAGGAAAATCAAAGAGTCATTGCAGAATTGAGTGATCAGATTCGACAACTTCACTACACTAATCGAATGGATATTAATATATTCCTTAATCATCCAAATGAGCAACAAGTCATGTATGCTTTAATTAAAGAAGAATTCATTGTCACAATTAGATAAGAAGAGAAATGAAATAATTATAAGGATGATAGTACGGAAATACAAAAAGTTTTATGCCAAGAAGCTAAAAATATTTTGTCTTCAACAAGAAGGTGTCCATGTTAGTGAATTATTGCGTACTTGCAAGTTAAAAGATATGGTAACAACTTTAAAGTATAAATCATTATTTTAAAAAACTTTAGATAAATATTTTATTTCATCTTAAACCTTTAATGTAACATACACATACACAGAGTAGAACCTCTCTATAGTGATACTCTATATAGGAATAACCTCTATGTAGTCATAAAAAATTCTGGTCCCAACTTGGGTCAGTTATAAATAAGAATAAATTTTACATTGTAATAAGTTATAATTTTTCTAGATTCTATCTTAAGGAACTTACCTCTACATAATTATAATTATATGTATATTGCAAAAAATAAATGCTATGTTACATTAAAGGTTTAAAATGAAATAAAATTTATCTAAGGTTGTTTGGGACAATGATTTATGCTTTAGAGTTGTTACCACATCTTTTATCTTGCGGGTACTTAATAAGCCGCCAGCATGAACACTTTCTTGTTGAAGCCAAAATATATCTAGCTCTCAAGCATGTTTATAGCTTTTTGGCATGAAATTTTTTGTATTTTCATATAATCCTCATAATTATCTTTTTCCTCTTCTTGTCTAATTCCAGTAATGATTTCTTCTTCAATTAAAACATATACAACTTATTACTCATTTGGATGATTGAGAAAGTTATTAATATTCATTTAATTAGTGTAGTGAAGCTGTCGAGTCTGATCACTCAATTATATATTAACTCTTCGATATCCATTTTCGTACTATCCTAATGTTATTAAAACAATGAATTGAAATCCTAATACTACTAAAACATGAATTATAAAATCAAAAATCAAAACAATAATTTTTATAACTATACCTCTATTAAATTATAACCTCCTTATAGTAATAAATTTAATTGGTCACAACATTATGACTATATATATATACACACATATAATTTTATTTGGATAATTTTTATCTAGATTATGGGTAATTTCAATTGAATCAGTATCAACTAAAATAAATTCATAAAAAATTATTGTTTTTAATAGATTATCAGGAATAAAATAAAAATCTGGAGGAAATTTTTTTGATAAGGTTTCTTGAAAAGTTTGTCCCCATAATTCGGGCTCAACAATACAAATTGATTGGGTTGTTTCTTTTTCAATGTATTGAAAGGTCGGATTAATGTTAATAGGTTTGGATGGAGAAGGTGAGTAAAATGTCGGTATTGCAAGGGCTTGTTGGTAATTTTATGGTGGTGACGAAGAAACTGATTCTTCATCTAGAAGAGTAAACTAATTTGGTTGGGTAATAATGATTTTCTGTTTATTGGGTTTTGAAGGTTTTGATTGTGGGGTAATAGGTTGTGGTAGTATTGCATACGATGCTTTTGATTTTGGATTATTTTGGGGTTTGATGGGAGTGCCCATCTTTTCCTCACTTTCTTTCAAAAAAAATTCGTCTTGAAAGTTATTATGAGAGAGACCATTAGAGTAAAAGCTTTTTGACTTTTGCATTTTATTGAAAACATAATTTTGAAACTTTTTAAATCTTATTACAAAAAGTTGAAAACACGTTTTTGTAATGCAAACATCCAAAATTTTGTTGGAAGTGAGCCATTTTTTTGTAGGAACAATTTCTAGACTCTCTAATTTAGTAATAGTATTTATCTTAGATATTGAAATATTTTTTTAAATTATTAATACTTTTACTAATGGCGGATTAACTCATGTGAGGGGCTTTGCCAAGCCCAATACTGCCTACATGCTTCAAGCTTCCCTTTAGGCAAGGCTTTATTCATCATATTTGAATCATTAACAACTGCATATCCAACACATCTCGAATCTAATGATAACTCACATCAATATGTTTAGAATGAGAATGGAAGATAAAAGTTCTTACCAAGGTGGATAGCATTCCACCTGTCATTTTCTTAGCCTTGGTAGTGCATATGAATCTTGAACTAGTTTAACTTAATATGAAAATCATGTTTTTACACGATGATTTGGAAAAGAAAATCTACATGTCTCAACTAGATGGTTATAGGGTTGTTAGAAACAGGGGCGGATTCAACAGTTGTTGAGGGTGGGCCATGATTTAAAAAAAAAAAAAATACTAATATGTACAATTATTGGATTTTGGCACACCCTAACAAAAATATTAATGTGCAATTAGTTTTTATTTTAGCTCACCTTAATAGAAATTTTTGGATCCGCTACTGGTTGGAAAAGAATATTGGGTTAGCAAATTGGAGACATCACTATTGAAGAAGTCACCGAGATAGTGGTACAAGCGATTTAATAGGTTTATGATTAGGAAGAAGTATAGAAGAAATCAAATTGATCATTGGCATGCAATGATGTATACTAGGCTCAACATTTCACATACAGTTGGAATTGTGAGCAGATATTTGCATGATCCTGGTAAAGGATATTGACAATTTGTGAAATAAAACTTGTGTGTTTGATTGTGCCATTTGACGCATTTTAAGGTGTTGTCGAATTTGTCAAAAGAATAAAAAAGAACTTTGAAGGTTTGCTAATTTATCAAGGTGGAGATTTGTTAAAAAATTGCCTCATTAGCGATCCTACATCAAGTGGCAATAGGAATAGAATAATTAGCAATCTCATATCTAGTAGGAATGAGATAATTAGCAATCCCATATCTTGTAGGAATAGGATAATTAGCAATCATACATCAAGTGGGAATAAGAATGAGAATAGGATTTTGGGCTTATACGAAGGAGGTCAAGTTATAGTATTGATCATTCAAAAAACATTTCTCCTTATACTCCTATTGAAAACGGTTCTTATCCTATAGTTTAGAGTTTCTTTGTATTTCCTTTTATTTGAAGATTTGTAGTATTGTCCAAAAGTTTGTAATATTCCTAAAAAAATAGTTGAGTGTTTTTACAATGCCCAAAGGTATAGGTAATAATATCGAAACTCATTAAATTCTTATATTCTTTATTTATGTATATATTATTGGCCATTTAGTTCCATCTTAATAATCATTATTATATTTCAATAGCTAGCGATAAAGTTTATATTCCCGCTGCACAACACTAACAATTACTTTATTATTTTGAAAAAACTAAAGCTGAGGTTGATCACAAGTTTGATTATTATAGAACTACGATTGATGCGCACCGTGAGAATTAAGTTGGCACCTGGACAATTGCTGAGAAGGGCAAAGAAGAGTAATGCTACACTTACACTATTTTTTTTATATTATTTTGTAAACATCATGATATGACATATGCTACAACCACATAAATTTTATTATAATATTAAAAATTCAAAATAATTAAAAATTTGTGTGGTTGTGACATATGTCACATTATGATATAATAAAAATCGTGTAAAAGAGTGATGTAAGTGTAGCATTATTCAGTCAAAGAAAGATAACGATAATGAGGACGATGACAAACCAAAAAAGACCGTCAACAATGATAACTTGGAAGGATATTAGGAAAAATCTTTGATGATATTGCTGGCAGGTATCTCTTTTCTAGAGTATGATAAATTACTATTTTTATTAGTAATATTGATAGTAATGTTGTAATTGTGCTTCTCACTATTTTAAATAATACATATAATTTTTTTTTTTTTTTCAATAGTCTAGTTATAGAGAGCTCTTTTGTATTCTCATAAAAAATGTTGATGAGCACCATGAATCAGAATTTGCGTGGATGGAGTCAAACATTTTAGACAATATAATTAAAGAACAATATGTTTCCAACCGTGCAAAATAAGATAATAACACATGCTGTTCTATCAAAATAAGATCACTCATAAAACGCCATAAAATAATTTATTAAATTTCTTAACAATTTTGAAGGTACAAAATTGATAAAAAAGAAATTAACAAAATAAAGCTAATTAGGTCCACACCGGTTTGTTTCCGGGTTTCACACAAAGCATCATCCACTCAAGTACGTTTGTTTAGTTATGGAAAAACCAAGCTTCATAAACCAAATTATAGGCTCATTCGTAATGATCTAGAATGTGACAATAATTTTTGACACTTTATAAATGAGGGAAATAAATATTAAATATAAGTTTGGATAAAAAATTTATTAAAGAAAATCCTTTTAATGTCTAACTAAACGAAATAATTTTCTTTTTAAATGTTGTCTTTTAAGTATATTTTATAATTAAGATTTGAAATTAGTATAAAATTTCTTATGTTGTGAAGGATGACTTAAATATTAGGAACCATTTAACCAAAAAGTTGATTATTTTGTATATAGTTTTAGGGCAAAACTACATTTATAATTTAATCCCACAAACTTTCTCTCACAATCTCGACGTAACAGTTTGTTATTGGTCAACTCTTAAAAAGATTTCTCCTATTTGCTATGGGTCTCGCTTATCTATTGTGAGCTGTTACGTTAGAGTTGTAAGAAAAAATTTATAAAATTAAGTTGTGAACAAATATTTATTAATAGTTTTAAGGAATAACAATTCCCAATTGGGGTACGGGTGTCTAGATTTTTTGCTGGCCCAAATAAGAAATTACCAAAGTAATAATTAGTAACGTTGGTGGTTGGATAACAAATAACAATCTCATCTGGAAAAAAAAAAAAAAAAAAAAGCATTAATTGTATATTCTATTTATTTAGATAAAAAATATATTTCGTATTAAAATCTTAGAAAAATTAGTAGTCATATCATCAATAAAGCTACGGACACCGAAAATTTTACACCAAAAATGTGTACCGACCTACGTGTACCCTGACTCATACCAACAGTTCAGACGGCTGATTTTTTTATAAATATTTTTCTAGTGAACGGTCGTCCATCAAATATAGACGGCCGTTCACTCACATAGACCCCCGTCCATATTATATGGATGGGGGTCCATATACGACAGACGGGCGTTCCCATTTAAAGGACGCCCGTCCATAAAGAAAATATAATTAAAAAAATTTATAAACATTAGGGACGGTCATCCCTTCATTTTAGACGGACGCCCGCAAATAAGAGACGACGTCTTTAACCAAAATATGAAAATAAAAAAAAAAACTTTGGGGACCATTCTTCATAAATTTTAGACGGCTGTCCCTTACGTTTGAACGGATGTCCATAAATTTTGGACGATCATCCCTTACATTTGGACAGGCATCTATTAGGAATGGACGCCCGTCCCTCATGTTTGGACGGGCGTCCATTCAGTCCATATTTAAAAAAAAAAAAATCATATTTAAAAAAAAAAATTCATATTTTAAAAAAAAAAAAAAAATTCTAAACAAACTTGGCTCTTCTTCTTCATCTTCATTCCTTATCTCCTCTCTTTTTCTTCTTCTTCATTCCCCATCTCTCTCTTCTTCTTTGTCTTTGTTTTATGAGATAGGCGTGTCAAATCCAAGGCTCCAAAACTCAGAAAACTACGGAAGCAAAACAGAGAGAGCACGGACAGCTTTATGGGAAGACTGATGTCATCATGTGAACGGACATTCACAGCAGAGCTAATGACCGAAGCAAGGTGGTCGCGCTCAGCTCCCATAGCTTCTGCTGCCTCCACACACTGAGCAGCCACCAAGGTTGCCGCAGATGCCACAGCCGTATCCGTCTTGGCAGACTGCTCGTTCCTTCTTGAAGATGAAGACGCAGTCGTGGCTGCTGTAACGGCTGCTATGGCAGCGGCCACTGCAGCCACTGAAACAGCAGCGTGGAGCTGCGCATTCTGGGCTCTGCAGCCACTGAAACAGCAGCGCGTTTCAGGAGAAGAAGAAAGAAGAAAGCAGAGCCCAGAATGCGCAGCTCCACGCTGCTGTCGACCCAGCCTGCAAAACGCACTGAATACAAAATTGAAGCTTAAAGAAAATATATCATTATTAAGCACGTGTTGATATGTATATTGTTGTACTGTTTTTATGTTATACAAGTATACGACATTGTTGAGAATTGAGAATGAAACTTGACCCATATGAACACGTTTTAAAACCCCAGTAAGGCACCTCAGCTAATCAAGATTTCTCAATTTCGACAAAACTCCAGTTAGCGTCCAACTGTAAAACGTCTTTTACTTGGTGCTGCGGTTTTGAGAAATTGGTTGTCAAACATTGTATGTTAATGTTTCTTCTTTTGCAGACTGGACTTCCATACTTTCCTTCGGATTTTCCTGATTGTAATGCACATGCATCCTTTATGGCAACTGAAGCTGCTGCATCTGACCAAAAAGCAGGACGAAATTCTGCTAGTAAAGAGTCTTCTCTTACGAGAGACACGCTCAAAGTCCATAGTAAAGAGTCTTCATCACGTGAGAGAAGACTCTTTCAGTATATTCGCAGTCTGAAGCTTGAGAGAAGGTAGAGTTTCAGCGGATGCTCGAGTCTGAAGCTTGAGAGAAGGTGGAGTTTCAGTATACACTCGAGTCTGAAGCTTGAGAGAAGGTAGAGTTTCAGTAGATGCTTGAATCTTTTGCATCTGCTGGTATTCTTTCAAACTAGCATCCCCATACTGTTACATACAAATATGAAAGTACAAGTTAATCTTAAAAATCTCCAGCCTGAGTATGTGCTTTTTGGACAGCCGTCCATATAATTTGGACGGCCGTCCATATTAATTGGAGGGGCATTCATTATTATTATTATTATTATTATTATTTAGACGTTTGTCTAAAATAAAGGGACGGCCGTCCATAATAGATGAACGGCCATCCCTAAATATTTTTTAATTTAAAAAAAAATTGTTAATGGACGGGCGTCCATTAAAATAATGGATGCCTTTCCCAATTTAGGGATGGCCGTTCATAACCTATGAATGACCATCTCTAATTTTTATAAGAATTTTTTATTTATAGATGAGTATCCTTTAAATAGGGACATCCGTTCGTAGTAAATAGATCATGTCCATATAATATGGACGGGAGTTTATGTAAGTGAATGGCCGTTCATATTTTAATGGACGGCTGTTCACTGGAAAAAAATAAAAATAATCTCAAATGTGTCCAATTTGTGGTGTGAATCGAAAGACACGCAGACTGATATAATATTTCGGTGCAAAAATTCAGGTGACTGTAACATTTTTGGTCATCAATATATCACCTAAGCTAAGCTGCCGAAAGACTCAAGTGACGTGGCATTCTTCTTGACCGGATATCTCATGTAAAAAGTTGTCCACGTGGAACGAAATTAGTGGTTCATATAATAGTTATAGCCAAAAGAAAATCTTGTAGGGATAAGGTATATATATATATAATAACATAAAGCCCCTCAATATTCATCATTAACTTAACATCTTATCTATCTGCAATGGCCATGGCCATTTCCACTTGTTCAGATTGTTCATTTCCTTTGATTAACTCTTCCATCAAATCTTACAAATTTACCCTCTTTTCATCATGCAAAAACCTTCCCTTTTTTATTCTCCCAACCTCAAATCTTTCACTCTTTCATGTAAATTCTTCAGGTTATCCATCTCCAATCCTGGAAGATTCTTCTACAAATTTGCCAAATCCCATGATTGAATCGGATCAACAATTTTCACCCAACAATTTTGATAGTTTTTTGTATGGTTTGTTACAAGATCCTCAAACACAACAACTAGCTTATGAGTACTACAGCAAAGCTAAAGAAAATCGAGAATTTAGACCAGAAAAACCAACTCTAAAGCTTCTCATCAGGTACTTGATAAAATCTAAGAAATGGGGTCTCGTTATCTCACTTTCTGAAGATTTTAAAATTTACAATGTGTTTCCTGATGCTAATACTTGTTCCACATTGATTACTAGTTGCATTTCTGCTAGAAAATTCAAAGTTTTAAACAGTTTGCTTCAAGTTTTAAAAACAGATGGTGATATTGCTGTATTGGCTTTTGATTCTGCAATGAGAGGTTATAACAAACTTCATATGTATAGTAGCACAATTACGTTGTATGAGACAATGAAATCTGCTGAAATTGTTCCTAATTCTAGTTGTTATTGTCAGATTATGGAAGCTTATAACAAAATTGGTGATACAGAGAAAGTAGTTAGCTTGTTTCATGAATTTGAAGGTAGAAAATTAGATGCAACACCATTTTTTACCAACATTTATAGACTTGTATGCGATTCGTTAGGGAAATGTGGTCGTGCTTTTGAAGCTCTTAAAATCTTCAGAGATATGACAAGGAAAGGTATTTCTGAGGACTCTTGTATATACGCTTCTTTGATATGTTCTTTTGCAAGCATTCGAGAAGTGAAGATAGCGGAAGAGCTATTCAAAGAAGCAGAAGAGAAGAGAGTGTTGAGGGATCCAGAAGTGTTTTTAAAGGTTGTATTGATGTATGTTGAACAAGGTTCAATGGAAAAGACTCTTGACATTGTTGTGTCAATGAAGAAAGCAAAATTGAAGGTTTCTGATTGTATATTATGTGCAATTGTGAATGGCTTCTGTAAAAAAAGAGGATATTGGGCTGCCATTAAGGTTTATGAACAACTCATCTCACAAGGGTGCAGTCCAGGGCAAGTGACATATGCTTCAATCATAAATGCATATTGCCGAATTGGGTTGTATTCAAAAGCAGAAATGGTGTTCTCAGAAATGCAAGAAAAGGGTTTTGATAAATGTGTTGTTGCATATTCAAGCATAGTAGCAATGTATGGGAAAACAGGAAGAATAAGAGATGCAATGAGGCTTGTAGCCAAAATGAAAGCAAAGGGTTGTGAGCCAAATGTGTGGATATACAATTCTCTAATGGACATGCATGGAAGGGCTAAGAATTTGAGGCAAGTGGAGAAATTATGGAAGGAAATGAAGAGAAGAAAAGTTGCAGCTGATAAGGTGAGTTACACAAGTGTGATAAGTGCATACAATAAGGCAAGAGAATTTGAGAAATGTGTGAATTTTTACAATGAGTATAGGATGAATGGTGGGGTGATTGATAGGGCAATGGGTGGGATAATGGTTGGTGTTTTCTCTAAACTCAGTAGGATTGAAGAATTGGTGAAACTTTTAAGGGATATGAAATCTGAAGGAACAAGACTTGACGAGAGGCTTTACCATTCAGCTTTGAATGCTTTGAGGGATGCTGGACTTCAAATGCAAGTCCAATGGCTGCAACAAAACTTTGAGGGGACTTAGCTACCCTACCTTTTTTTTTTTTGTAAGCATTTATTAAATCATTATCAGCTCTTCAAATTATAACATCCCTTGCTTTATCTAAATTCTGACATTTTTTTTTAATTATTAGTTCTATATATATATAAATTTCGAGATTTTAACATGCAAACCAAAATTGAGTGACCGATCATCGGCGTTTGAATTTTGCATTTTGTGAAAATAGCAACCAATCACTTAACTTTTTTTTTTTTTCTTATGTATTATGCATTTTGTCATTAGAAGGAAAAAGAAATGTAAATACCATATTTGGATCAAATTTCAATTGGTTGATAAAAATTCCTTTAATACACATTCTCTCATAATTAAATTGAGATTGAAATTAATCGGTATTAGAATTTTAATTTTTTCCTTCTTGAAGAAAAGGCCTCTCTTTCGCTAGATGACTCTCTACAAGACTTGTATCGGTCAATGTTATCAATTTTATAAAAATCTTAGGCTTTTAAACCTGCAAATTATCTAATGAAAGGTTAAAATACATATTAGCCCATAATAGTTAATGACACATAAACAAAAAAAATTCATAAGACTTGAAACAACATAGAATAAGATTATAAATGTATTCACTAAAAAAAAAAAAAAAAAAAAAAAAGCTGTTATGCTTGAAAAAGTAGGGCTGATGTAGAGTCTTATCAGTAAAGGATGGTTTGAGCTCAGAAGGGTTTTGTGCCGTCCATGTGCGGCCATATCGCACCTAACGCAAGTGGTATAACTCTTATCAGTGCAGCAGGTGAGTGTCAGGCCAACAAACGGTTGGAGATCACCTACGTGTCAAATACTTGTTTTAATCGAGAAAATCCCTCGGGCAGGTGATCAATGGGACGCAAAGAAAGGATTTGCACGGCTCTTATCCACTTGTAGCTTTTATAATTATTACCTTGAATTCTCCCACTATAAATAGAGAACTTCTCTCTCATTTATGGCAGATTAGCTAATTTTATTTTGAAATAGCTCTCTCTCTCTTTCTCTCTCTTGTATTCTCTCTTTAAACTATAACGCAGTTCGTTGAATGCGATCTGACCTCTCTCTCTCTCTCTCTCTCTCTCTCTTATTAATACAATAACAATGGACGTAAGATTTGCTTTTGAACACCTGAACTACTTTAAATATTGTTCTCCACCTTTTATTTAATTTAATCCCCTCATATTATGTATGACTTCTAAGCTTTTTTAGTATTTTATATGTATAAATAGTTGATGTCAAAATCAAACATCAACAGAAGATTTTTTCATCAATTATTCCAGATAACATTTCGTAGAACAAAGATTTTTCACGTACAACCAAAGGGCAGATATTAAATCCCCGCCCTTTTTCCCTCAATCAAGTAATAAATTATATAATAGTTTTGTATTAGAATTTTTGACTATATGCATATTGAAATGTATAAAATTTCTTAATCAGTTAATACCAAAATATAAATATATTATATTAAAATCCAATCATTATCTAAATTTTAGATAAAGAAAATACAAAATACAAAATAAAATAAATCATCAAAATATTCATGTTATTTATTAGTATTTTAAATTTTTTTAGGGAGAACGACATTGTCCCACCCAAGGTTTGGCGAAACGACACTTTTCCACTCATCAAGTTTCAAAATGACACTTTCCTACTCTCTGTTATGTTTCGATAGAAAATTCCGTTACTATTTGACTAAAAAGACAAAAATATCCTTAAATATTTGACTTAATAATTTCTTATATAAAATATGTTATATCAATATATTTAATTACCAATATATCAACTCTTTAAATCTGAAATTAATGATATGCCATTATTTATGCCCTCATATATAATGTAAATTACCAATTTTTCCTTCCAGATTTTTATTAAAAATGATGTTAGAAATGAATGATGTTACCATTGGATCTTTATAAATTTAAAACCTTTAAAATTACCAGTTTGTCCTTATAGTTGTCCCATATTTAAATTTTGTCAATTTAAACCAAAATAAACTAAGTATTGACATTACTAATTTGCTTAAATAAGAATCCAGATTGTAAAATTATAGTGCATAAAAAATATATTGTAAATTCAAACCTAATAAAAATAAGGAATTCAATACAAAAAAATCAGGTTTTCCAGTTTCTCATTAATTTCCCAAAATCCAGAAAGTTTTGCTTTCACCCACCCACTTTCTAGCTCCTTGAAGCTTGCTTTTCCTTTGCTTTATGGATCTTCAAAACTTTCTTCACTATCTTTTTGCTCTTCCACCAAGAAACCATCTCCAATTTGTCTTGTCATAGCATATCCGCAATCCAAAATCAAATATTAAGGCTGGGGGTATTAATAGGTGCTTCAGAAAGGAAAAGATATGAAGACATAATTTTCCAAACAAAGGTTTCAAGTGTGCACAGTAGTTCACTAAACAGTCACAGCAAAAAGGACTGAAAGATTCATTTTTGAGTAGTAATAACTAGTATTCCAAAGTACTACATGTAACTAACTTTGGCATCACCCAACGTGGGAAAACTCACTGTAGTAACTCTCAATGCTTTGAGGTCACAAGCCCTTCCTAACTTAAATGTTAATTATGATAAGGGAACAGAATGGAACAAGATGGGGAAGAGGGGAATGATTTTATTCATAGAAATGCACTTTAATTCACTACATTATACATATTTGCATCTGATTTTCACGCACATGCTTTTATATTTTTCCTCTAATGTACAAGCAAAACCTTGGTTCCATTAGTACACATTTGTAGATAACTCAAGAAATAAATTTCTAGACCTTAATGACACATGAAGACATATCTTGCATACGTAAAAGGTAACCAATACAGGACAATGTATACGTGTGTGCATACTATTCATAGGAGTGTAACCTTGAAATTACAAAAAATATAAAACTACATAGAATATAGCTTAATTTACCTGTTCCCTTGAAAGTTGCCCACACGACCACCCTCCCTGATAGTTCAAACACACATAACAACAGCTCCTCTCGACTCAGAACTTTCAGCTACTCACCCACCGCCAACAATAACCGCATAACACCTCCTTGAGCTTTATTTTTTGAAATCTGAATAGCAACAAGGGTATAAAGTGTGAAGTATAATAAATTATGCAAACACATACCCATATCAATGTGAGTACATGAGAAAAATGAGCTAGAGATCATGCTGTTTTTCTCATTTCAATGCAATGAATAATAGCAACTGAAAGATATAGGCTTCATAATAATAAGAATTGAAATTTATATTATGAGAAGAGGCAGGGAATGATAACAAGACTCCAAAGGAGAAAAAAAAAATTAACCTCAAATATGAAAAAAAATTGCAAACTGATTCTCAACAAAATATCTACTTTACCAAACGTTTCCATGTTCTGAAACATCTTAAATTACATACAAATATACATAAAAACATATAAAGTACCCAAATCTAATTTAAAAAAAAAAAAAAAAGGAGAATTAAATACAAACAAAAGTTATACCTTATAACTAATAGAAATTCCATTCGAAAGACAGCGTTGAGCGATCCCAATTTCTTTGTCATGCACTTTCGTGACATTTAATTCTAAGACCTTGGCACCAATGGAATTAACCTATAGTAGCAGATAATCGAGGATCAAAACCACTGTGTAAGAAAAATATTCATTTTTTAGAAAAGAAAAAAACTTGGAGCAAATCAGTAAGAAAGATGCAAGTCGTGTTACTACATTCTAAGAATTACAATAACGATACTTGTGCCTTCTTATGAGCACAAATTTGCTGGTACTTTTACAAAAACCCCTTATACTGAATAACAATTTTCACAAAAGCATTCCGAAACACAGCCCAAGAAATCCAGATGACAAGTACAAACAACCTCACATTCTCTCCTCCAGATCAGAAACAATACAATCAAACAGAGCAGCAAACCACAAACTCGCTAACTTACTGTTAACAGTTCAAAATTCCATGAACTGGGTACCAACTAAAGTGAACACCACAAGTAATCTAGATTAACTATGCCCGTGAAGAAATAGTTGTTGTTGTTGTAGTACCAAACGAAAAGAGAACAAAACAAAACAAAAAAACACAACAATTTTTTTAACCTAAAAAAAAATAGAAAGATTACCCACGACTTTCGGCTCAGTCGTCGTCGTATGTATTTTTTTCTCACTCGTCATCGCAGCCAATTGCAGTTTGTCGCTCACTGCTTTCAAACCTTTTTCTTAATCGTCGTCGTCAGTTGCCAACCCTAAGTCGCCAGCCGCTTCATTAAGAATAGCTCAAATTACACACCAACCCTAAGTCGCCAGTCGACGAAATTTTCATGTATTCAAAGTTCAAACCACTCCCATTATCAATCGCTTCAGTTACAAAGAGTGGGGAGATTTACAGAGTCTAGGAAGAATAGATAGCCAACCTTTCATTCTCGCTTTTTTTATTCAGAGTCAACTCTAGTGGGACACGTGGCAACCATTGAGGGACACTGAGATTTCAATTTTTTATTTTTTATTTTTTATTTTTTCGGCTTCCTGAGAATGGGCAATTCTACCCTTCTTCATAACGGAACTTCCTAACAGTACATAACGTTGGGTGGGAAAGTGTCGTGTTAAAACTCGACTGTCGTTTTAAAACTCGATGGGTGGGAAAGGGTCGTTTCCCCAAACCTTGGGTGGTAACAAGTCATTCTCCCATATTTTTATTATGACATAGTAGGTGTAACGTAGAAATTTAGCCCCTCAATGGTGTCAGAAACACTGTTCTAACATACTAAGGGAAGTAAGATTTGAGAATTAATTTTCATATGACAGGGGTATTTTAGGTAATTTGTCCCTGTAGAATAACATACTGAACGACATTATATCGACAAGAAAGACGCCGTTTTGTACATTTTTGAAATGAGAAACAACGGGATTCAAATCCCCTAATTCAATTCGATTTTCACTCTCACGACCCTCCTTCAATCTGACTATTGTTTCTTGGAGGTTCATTTTGGAAACCCTTACAGCATTTTCGCTGGAAACTAGTTCAGGTTGCTGTCGGCATCTGTCTTGAGGCGCGCTGTCACATATTGTTTTCACTCTGCTCTCCTTTACTGTCACTATCTTTTTGTTGGTGGAAATTCACGGCAGTTTCGTCGGAAACTTGCTCGGTTCCTGCGGCGTTTGTGGCGGTTATCTTGAGGCGCTGGGCGTGGCCTTTTTTTTTTCTTTTTTTTTTTTTTCTCTCTGCTCATCTCCACTCTCCTTATAAGGTAAGCTTATTTCCCAAAAGAAATAAAGCTCGCCATATTCCGTTGATAACCAATTGGAAAGCTCATATTTGGGCGGTGGTGTTCACCGGAAAGCTTGACTGTAGACGAAGACTAGGTGCTTCTAAAAGTATCGTAGCAGTCTTCTGCCTTTGCTTTTTTTGAATAAGAAAAAAAATTCTTTTTCTTTCAAAAGCTGAGTAGTAACTGAATTTAATGAAATAAAATGGGGTACTGGCGGATTGAGATTATGCAAATTCTCCCTTAATTCATAGATTTGCGTTTGTTTTATTAGTGGATCCATGTAGATATGTAGTTTATATTAATTTTGATTATTTTTAATTCAATCTTAGTAAACAATAATGTATATGCTTGCAGGGTATTTCATTTGGTGAGGGTTGAGAGAATGTACTTGAGTGATTTGTGAAGCTTCTAAGCTAATTAAATTGTGATACCCTTTTGTGAAAAATGGAATTATTTGCTTCTAAATTAGTTAATACAACATTGAACTGGGCAACGTTGGCTCTAGATGCGCCTTCTGCCCAAGCTGTTGTTTTTGGAGTGCATATTGGCGGTAGTTTCTAAGTTTTAGGGGTGAAACGTTGCTTGACTGACTTAAAAGTTTTTTATGAACTTTGTTATTAGGCTATTTGTTTGTGGAAGTTCTTTTGGTAGTCATCCTTTTCCTACTTTCCCAGAAAAGTTACAAGCCTCCTAATCGGCCTCTAACGAAGAAGATTTTTGTCATAGTTCTTTGAACTTGTCATTTCATCCACAGTTCGGGTATAAAAGAAGCATTTATGTTTGTTTTTTTTATAAGTGTTAGGGTGTAAATTTCATGTGTTATGGTGGTGATTTTTTCTATAATTTATGGTTCTAGATAAGTAGTAGAAGCTGGGAAATGTTGCGTCAACTTTATGAAGAATCTCCTCACCTGGGCTATCAAATATATTTCAATTTTGTTTAAATGTAAATCTCTATCAAGTGTTGTTATGTGTACAGCATCATGTGTTTCTCACAAGTTCCCCATCTTTTTAATATGTGCATTTAAATTTTTATAGATTATTTGTCAATTTACTTTGTACGCTTTTTAAGGCTTAATTTTTTTGATGCTCTTTTGTTTTTCATAAATTTTATTGTTCCTATTGTAATTTGGCCGTCATTCATTTTTGATTTACATAATTTTATATCAGCCTAACATTGCATAAAGTTTGCATGACATCAATAGGAAATAGATGAGCTGTGCGATGAGTGGGTTCTAGAATCTCTTATTCTCATTATCAGTAAAGACATGCTATATGAACCCCCAGTATTGGAAAGGTGCAAATGATGTTATTTACCTAATAGATTTTGTTTGAATGTAGCAAAGCTATGTTGCTGCCTGACTTTTTAGATGTAAGGGATACCCTGTTCTCTACATAAGTTGAGTTTCTTTAATGATACCTCTCATTATTTCCTGTGTTTTATATATTTTGGTTGCCACTCTTGTTTGCACTCTATTTTAGTTGACAAAGTCATAACTGTTGTCTTACATGCCCATATTAAGTGATATATATATTTCAAAGTTATAAGTAATGCCTTACATGTCTTCATTAATTTCTACTTTGTGTAAAAAACATTGTTGTATATGGTTTACCCTATAAACAAGAAATCTTGGTCTTGTAAGATTGAGAGTTATTACCTGAATAATTGATTAGTGTTTTGCAAAGTATTTGAGCTCATGAGTGCAGTGCTGCAGGGCCGCATACAATAATTAATGGAAAAGAAGTTGTGAATTTTGCTTCAGCAAATTATCTTGGATTTATCAGACATGAGAAGTTACTTGTAAGAAAAGCTATTTCCATTCTAAACTTATATGTCATCCATGATAATCAATGGTGTTCAAGACACTTATTGAAATACCTATATTAGCAGTCATGCATCTTTGCATTGGAGAAATATGGTGTTGATTCTTGTGGTCTACGTGGCTTCTATGGAACAATGGTTCAGACTCAGCTATGAAACTACTTTCAAATGGAACGAGTTTAAGTTGCTTTTCCTTTTATATATGTATGTACATTCATTTAGTAAGATAATGGACCTATTTCATATTTTAACAAGTTTATATTCTGTTCAGGTGTTCATCTTGATTTTGAGGCCAAAATTGCTAAGTTTTTGGGAACTCCTCTATTCTTATGGACTTTCCACCATGTTCAGTGCTATTCCCTGTCTTGTAAAAAGAGACATCTCATTGTTGTGTGATAAGAACTTCCCTGCCAACACTGATCCAGACCAATACACACAACAATCCAATGCAATTATCCAAGACAAACAATGAATAAAAGTAATTCTGTATTAATAATTGATCTTAGTAACAAGCTCTTCCCAAATTCAGTAAGGAAAAACAAGCAAAAATGTAAAGGATAGTTCCTATCAATTCGAGGAGCTAGGGGCCTCCATTGATTAACTTCCCTCAAAGAATAATCCTATATTATATACTAAAGTCCCTAACAAGATATCCTTCTCCAACACAATCCTGCCACGTGGAGATGCTTCTACCCAACTCTCTTAACAGCACCTCTAATGCTCATTCACACTCTTAACACCTTCCTGCCCCTTATCCCTCTTATGCCCCCTCAACTGGTATTACATTATTAATAGGAGGCCTATCATTGTGTAAGTACATGTACTATTATGACACTTTAATTTTTAGATTACCTATGTGGCGGTGTTAACGAAGGGAGATGATGATCATTTTAAATTTGCATGTGATCTATATGGATAATATGAAAAATTAGTTAAAACTTTAACATAAGCTATTTGGTGTTGAATGTGAGTTTCGGAATGTGGACCTTGACAAATTTAGTTACATAGTGTTGATCAAGGACATGAAAAAATGTGTGGCTAAGGAGAATGAGGAAGTACACCTTTATCTTGATGAGAAGTTTAGGGTGGAAACTTTATCCTGATGAGAAGTTTAAGGTGAAAGCTTTATCTTGATGAGAAGTTTAGGGTGGAAGCTAGGTTACCTTCGTCGGGGCAGAATTGTTTATTAGACAGTGATGAGGAGGTTGCCTTCATTTTTGAACAATATGGGTTGAAGAGGTTAAATGACAGTAAATTATATGTTGATGCTTTACCCGTAGAATGTATTGAATTGTTACCTTCTTAGCCAGATCCTAACGCTAGCGAGCTTACTGATGAGCAATTTGAAATTCCTCTTGTAGAGTGTTGTGAGGATGAGTTCTATTGGAGTGATGCATCTAATGATGACGATGATAATGAAAATCACAATGTTAATTGGAATGGTGATGGGATGTGAATGTAGATGGTGAGGGTGATGTTAATATTGGGGTGAATGTATTTATTATGGCTGTTGGAAATGGTGATAATGGGTTTATGTATTGGTTTAAAAATAATTAGGTTATCATGGGGTCAGGGTCTAGTGGGGATGATGATGTAGTAAGTAAAATGAGTAGGCATATGAAGTCTAATGAGTTTAAGTATGAGGCAGATGGGAAGATTTATTTTCAAGTAAGGCAGGTGTTTATGGGTGTTGACCATGTTACGAAGGTATTGAAGGATTATGTAATTTAGAGATCGGCTTTGTTGTTAAGAAGGTGTATAATGAGAATGGGAGGATTAAAGCAGTGTGTGTAAACAAGTGGGGTGTCCATTTCATATTTATGAAGCTTTAATGCTTGATAAGCAATTATATTAACTTAGGCAATATGACACACACACACACACACTTGCCTTAGAGTAGATAACAATCTGGATGCCTCTATCTCATGGATTGCTAAGAAAATAGGTGAGTTTATTAGGTCACAGAGGGGGAGTTGTGTAAAGCCCTTATATGCTGAATTAGGAAGGGTACATTATTTGGAGGTGCGTAAACACAAGTTGTATAGTGTTAGGAGAATTGCCATTGGTATGACCCAAAAACAACATGTTGAGTCTTTTGCATGGTTGTACAAGTACTATCACATTCTTCATGTTACCTATCCTAGCTCCATGACATAACTGAGGGTGATTAGATAGCAAGTAGTAGAAACTCCTTAGTTCAAGAGACATTTTCTAAGTTTTGCAGCTTAGAAAAATGAATTTCTATAGGGGTGTAGACATTTCATAGGGATTGATAGGTGTTTTCTCAAAGGTTACTATGGTGGGGTTCTTCTTTCTATTGTCTCAATGGATGCAAATAGTGGGATTTACTCTTTGGCCATATGTATTTGTAAGGCAGAGAAAAGGACTCTTAGGGGTTTTTCCTTGACTTATTGCATGATTTTTTTGAGGATATAGATCTTGTCACATTCATGAGCAGGGCAGACCCAAACCCTTTGAGGGTAGGCTTGGAATTTAGATTAAGAAAAAAAAAACAAATTTTTTCTATAGAAAAAGTTTTCCTTAGAATCTCTCCTTATCCTTTGGGATTCTACAAGTCTGTATTGCTTTGACCTTTCTGTCCTCCCCCTTTTCCCTAATTTAGTACATGTAAAATACTACATAAATCACTATTAACTGTGATTTTTAATTCTATGACATGGCCTCACTGTTGTTTCATTTGTACTTACCTTTTTGTCTTTTATCCGTTTATCTAATTAATTAATTAATTGACGCCAATTCCCTCTATTAATAAAAGATTTCGTGTTGTAACTTACACCCATTTTTAATAGAAATAAAATTAATAACTTATATAATTACAAACTAATAATCGACTTAATAATTATCATTATTTTTCCTTGATTTTAATAAATTTTGAATGATTATACTATACTCCTTTCACAAATATATCCTCTAATTAATGACAATGACGTGACATAATTAAAAAATAATTAGAGTATAATTCAATTTCAATCATTCATTGAACTTTGACTGTGACAATTAGTGTTAAGAGCAAGCATAATTGTTTATTATTTAATTTAATTTTTTTTTTCAAAGAACTTAATCATATAAAACATTACTTTAAAAATGCATATAACTCAACTCATTTTTCCATTTGACCCTTGCTTCTTCCCTTCCAATTTCATCACAAATTTTCATAAGACATCAATAACATCAATTGGTAAGAGAAGAATTTGAATTGAAAGCAAATTAGGTTAAGATTTACGGTTTAGGGTTTTTGCTCTCTTCACATTAAAGAGGGTTTTCCACGTAAAATTTTCTTGTGTTTCCTTGTGAATTGGATGTTATTTTTAACATATTTGTTTATTTTTGCTTCTCATAAATTTATTCAAGTAGGACAGTATTATGGTATTGTTTTCTTTCCTTACAACTTCTTGATATTATATTATTTCATTTGCTTAAGATTTGATGGTTTTTTAAAAGTTTTCACTAGTAATGACGTAGCTGCGGAGGCCCCTCTAGGCAAAAATCCTAGGTTTGCCACTATCAAGAGTGATAGGAAGAAAGTATTTTAAATGTGTTAAGCCCTTATGTGTTTTGATGTGTCAAAACTAATTAAAAGAATGTTTAAAGACTAATAAATGTGCAAACGTATGACATAAATCATAACCAAAAATGAAAATGCAGTTTTCCAGGTAGAAAGACCCTTCACGCAGATGGAATGCCTGTTCCAATAAGTTATTTCTCAAATTAACTCTCAGTTAAGCCGTTCCAAGTTGGAATGACATCGTTCCATGGTGTCGTTCATC